CCCAGTCCTGTGTCAAGTGCGGGCTTAGTCAGTTTGGGGGCTGTTGGTCAGGATGGGTGGGAGGAGAGGAGGAGTTGAGAGTCATGGTGTTTACCTCCTTCTGGGGGTTGGAGAGCTCTTTCCTGTGCGTGTGGACTGAGATGTTGTCTCTGCCCTCCTCATCTCCTGGTGGAGTTGCAAGGATCGGAGACTCACAAAAGGCTCACAGCTAAATGGGGGCTTTAGGTACAAATTAATCCCAGCTCCTATTTTGCAGATGAAGAAAACTGAGGACTAGTGAGGCAAGAGGGACCTGCCAATCATCAGGGAACTCACTGGCAGGGGCCAGAATGGGAGCTCTCATTGCCTGGTTCCCATCCTGGGCTCTTTCCCTCACACCAGTCATCTCTATTGTTTTCCGGTTGCTGCAAGAGGGTCCAGTTGAGCTCACTCATCCTGCCACTCATGGATCTCAGGGAGATAATAATAGTAACAGCTGACACTTAAATAGTACTTCTCTTCTACTAGGCAAGGTTTTAAGTGCTTTACATGTCTTAACTTAATCCTCAGAAACCCTACAAGGTAAGAATATCAATGTTCCTATTTATAGATGAAAACACTGAGGCAGAGAGGTTAAGCAACTCATCAAGCTTATGCTTCTAGTAAGTGGCAGCAGTCTGGTCTCTGCAAAATGAATCCCCATCTCCAATTTTCCTCTTCCAGATGGGGATAAAAAGTCATCTTAAAGCCCGCTAGCTGACTCGAAAGCATTTACCATGTGGAAGAGACGTCTCTGTACAGCTTTTATCACTGGCTGGAACATCCTGCTTAAGGGACTTGACTCTAAAATTCTGTGCTATTACCAAATCCAGACTAGCACTCACATGTGTATGACTCCCAGGATGTTGAGATTTCTTACAGTTTTACCTCCGTTAGGGAGACGGTAGACCATGGTACTCACTGATGGAGAGCTTCTTTACCATGGGGTCCATGGGCTTTAAGACCTTGATCCTGAAATTTCATGCACATGTCATGTGCCTAGACTCATGGGGCATGGATTCATTAGGGCTGTGACACTGGAGCGTTTTTGTACTGTACAGCTCCCAGGTGCACATGAGTCCTGTTCATTTCTTTACACCCGACAGTGCTTTCAAGCCTTCCCCTGGAAGCTCTCTGGAAAGATGTGTGCATGCCTGAGTAAAGGAATGAATGGCCACATGCAGTGGCTTACACCTGTAATCCCAACACTTTGGGAGGCTGAGGCAGGTGGATCGCTTGAGGTCAGGAGTTTGAGACCAGCCTGGGCAACATGGCAAAACTGTCGCTACAAAAAATGCAAAAATTAGCCGGACATGATGGTGCATGCCTGTAGTCCCAGCTACTCAGGAAGCTGAAGTGGGAGGATCACCTTGAGACCAGGAGGTGAAGGTTGCAGTGAGCTGAGATCTCACCACCGCACTTCAGCCTGGGCGACAGAGCGAGAATCTGCCTTAAAAAAAACCAACCAAACAAAAAATGGTGCTCTCTTCCCTTTGTGTGTATGGATGGCAAGAAGATGCGGCAGGAGATGTGAAGTCACCTGCACTCAGGTGTGCATGGCAGAGAGTGCACTGTCAGCCTGGGCAGGTGACCAGGGCTGCACACAGGTCCTCACTCAATCCTGCCATGATTCTGTATGCCATCAGCCTGAGGCCAGCAGTGAAGAGGCTCTGCTTCCGGGTCCAGAGCTCCTCCTGATCTGCCTGGTGCTCAGTGGCATGGTGACATCACATGCAGCTCTTTCCTGGAGTGTTCAGGCTGTCTCATCCTCAGTCACAGTGGAGAATAGGAGGGCAAGGAGCCTTGGGGTTTTTTTTTTTTTTGCTATCTTCAAACTTCCTGACACAGTACTCAAGCCCACAGATGAACAGATGCCTTAATAAGTAGCCTTACAGGCTGGGCGCGGTGACTCATGCCTGCAATCCTAGCACTTTGGGAGGCAGAGGCTGGTGGATCACTTGAGGCCAGGAGCTTGAGACCAACTTGGCCAACATGGTGAAACCCCGTCTCTACTAAAAAATAAAAAAATTAGCTGGGTGTGGTGAGGGGTGCCTGTAATCCCAGCTACTCGGGAAGCCAAGGCAGGAGAATCACTTGAACCTAGGTGACGGATGTTACAGTGATGGAGATCATGCCACTGCACTCCAGCCTGGGCGACAGAGTGAGACACTATTTCAAAAAAAAAAAAAAGTAGCCTTACACTGGATTGAGTGATAAGGGGTGACCAACAGGCAGCTGCTGCACGGCTACAGGCTTCTTAACCTTTGCAGCATCCTCTTCCAACAACGCTTACAACATCACAGTCCAGTGCCTTCAGCGGTACTAGTTAGTTGGAAGGTGACTCCTACAGGAATAGGCAGATGAACCCTAGCATTTCTGCCATGTCATGATATGTGCGCTTGACCAGAGTCTTGGTGCGGGTGTAGAATGAATGGACTCCAGAGGGGACTCTGATTTGCCATATGGAGTAAAACGACCTCCCCATTTCCATGATTAAAGCTGCCTTCTCTATCACAGAGGCACAGGGTAGGTGCTCAATAACTGTTTGCTGGATTGATGAATTATGTCCCACCTGGTCTTGACCTGAAGTGGCTTCCTGGTGAGAGCACCTGTAAACAGCCTTTGTTAATTTTCTTAATCTCAACAAAGCATAGAACTTGCTGAGATCAGTACCCTGAAGAACTTGGAGAGCCCAGTATTATGGGGATCACAGGGTAAGAGGAACATAAGTTCACTGGTTTTGAGAAGGACAGTTGCCATCAGTGGTCAATTCTACTGCAGGTTCTTAATGCTTCCTTCATGTATCTGCTCACATGCTGCCCCCGACTACTGACCCCTTTGAAGGTGGATGAGCTGTACCCCACAAACCTTGTATCTCTAGCTCCTAGTCTAGTCCTCAACACACAGAGGGAACCCAGGTAGAGTGGCTGATTGAATGAGAGGTTATTGTGTGTAGACACATGCACACATCAGAGAAATGATCAACGTATGTTGTGGCCAGAATTCTGATGAGCTCTGTCCTTAAGGGCACTTCTTGTGCACCTGCGAATCGTGAAGAAAGCCTCTGAGCACAGATCTCCTGGTCTTTAATGCCTGTGCACTTGTGGGCATGCAGTATCAGAAGTGAACGTGGGCACTGGAGTCACCAGGCTAGCTTTGAACCCACAAATTAGTGTCTGTGTGCTCTTGGGTAGACGGATGACCAATCTCTCCTACTTAAAAAAGGTGGGGACAAGCGTCCCCTTTTCCCACTGTGGCTTTAGGGTTAAATGAGTTGGTGACCACCACACTCCCTGAACACAGCTGGTCTCCGTGAATGTAATCCCCTTTCCTGCGAGCCTGTCTCTTCCTCCGTCTGTTCTCAGTTTCTTTTTCTGAAGAATATGGGGGAGTGACCCTCAAAGGGTCCCTTGAGTGCATGAGTTATGACCAAACAAGCTGTTTCCCCGATCCCTTACAGAGTGGAGGGCAAGGACCCTGAAATAAACGTACTTGCTTTGAAAGAAAACATGCCAGGCACAGTGGCTCATGCCTGTCATCCCAGCACTTTGGGAGGCTGAGGCAGGTGGATCACCTGAGGTCAGGGGTTTGAGACCAGCCTGGCCAACACGGCGAAGCCCTGTCTCTACTAAAAGTACAAAAAGTAGCCTGCATGGTGGCATGCACCTGCAGTCCCAGCTACTTGGAAGGCTGATTCGCTTGAATCTGGGAAGCAGAGGTTGCAGTGAGCTGACACCATGCCACTGCACTCCAGCCTGGGTGACAGAGCGAGACTCTGGTTCAAAAAAAAAAAAAAAAAAAAAAAAAAAAAAAAAAAAAAAAAAAAAAAAAAAAAAAAAAAAAAAAAAGAGAGAGAGGGAGAGAAAATGCTTTATTAGCAAAGCAGAGCAAAGCAATACAAACAAGACACCACCAACGCCAACACACAAACCCCAGCCACCTCTGCTGGGGGCTGAGCCTTGTTCACACAGCTGTGGAAGCTGACAGTCTCAGGACTCTCTTGAGGCTGCCAGCTTCCACCTTGCAGTTCTTTGCTCCCAGAAGCAACGTGTTCTGGGCTGCTGCCCACATCCAGTCTACCTGAAAGTCAGGTCTCTGATCTGTCATGGACGCTCTGGAGTGGGTGATTCAGCTACAGAAAGAGCACACAGCGCAGGACCACCACAAGACAAGGTCCTCTGCAGGAACATGGAACTTCTAACTTTAGGGACATTTGTTCCAAATAAAAAGAGGCCATTGCCTTCCAGACACCTAGGGAATCTTAAGACACTGATGGTCGGGACCAGGCCAGGCTGGGATTTCTGGTGTCCATGAATAACTCCTGCCCCCTCCCCCAGATCTCCACCTGCCCATTGGAAACCTGCACGCTGGGAACCTGCACGCAGGAAGCAAAGCACGTCCACCCGTCGAAGAAAGCGTGAGACGTGTACGCGCCCTGGAGAGGCACTGGTCAGTTTTGCGGCAAGTGATCGTACACCTGGTCTGATCATTTGCACTATTTAGCACAGGGCTGATCCCAGACTTTGGATGGACGCAGGGGAACTGGCAGCACCAGCCACGCACGCTTGAGGAAGTGGAAGAGGGGTCAGTACAGATGGGGACCAAGGTACGGAAAGGGAAATGGAAGACCATGAGCCCAGCCTTGCCTGGGACATGTGTCTCATCCCTCAAACAACAGCCTGATCCTGTATAAGGGGGGCTTCCATCCACATGCCTCAAGCTGTTTTGGCAGAGGGATCGCGTGTGTGGACTTCCCCTGCACAACTGTGAACAAGCACACCAAACTCAGTGGCCACACGCTTCCCTGGCTACTGCCTTCGTTTAACGTCTTGCCTGCCGTCTGAGCACGGTAGTCAGGGGGTGGGGGGCCGTGGGCTGCCCCTGCTCCTGGGGAGGTCTGCTAGGAAGGCTGCTCGGTGACTTGTTAGTGAGCACACAAGCAAAAGGAAAGCTGTCACAGGGGCAGTGGCCCCCGCTCCTACCATGTCGCTCTGTGACTGCGTGGCCCCGTACATGGTGATACCGCTGGAGGGTGCTGCTGGCTGCGGCGTGTCGGGCTGGATGTACCCTCTTCTGTCAATTAGGCTGCGAGAGAGAAGAGAACACAGGAGGAAGAGAGTGAATAAAAAGCCAGAGATGCAGCAGCACTATTTCAGGTTCCGTGTCAGGGCTCCCTCTTCCCATGATAGGCCCACCTCAGGCACCTTAGACTACGCCTCTCCTCACTTTCATGTACAATCAGTGACCAGATTCTGTTCCTTCTCCCTTTAAACATGACTGTGGCATGGCCTGCCTCCTGGCCAGGCCAAGGGCATGTCACCTGCTCAGATGCCAGCATCTCCCTCTTGTCCACTAACTGCGGCAGCCTCTAAGCTGGTCTCACTCCACCTGTCACCATCTGTCCCCAGTGCTCCTCTCCAGCCTCAACGGCACATCTTCTTACTACATTCACTCAGCAAACGTGTTCAGGCCACGACCATCCCCGCCTCTGAGGACTGACTATCTGGGCTGCTTTTCTCAGAACGCAGGGCCTCCTATGTGTCAGTTCAGCTTTTGGAACACAGGAGTTAACCTCATGACTACTGCCTTCAGGTCTTTAAGTGGCAGAACGATAAGCCAGAAAAACCACCTGTGACGGGATCCTCAAATGGGACTCCCTCTGCCTCAGTTCCAGCTGAACACTTTATAGGTTTAGAAAAAACAACAGGCAACAAGAATCTCCACCTTTCAAAGAGAAGTGCCGGACCTCCTCTGCAGGACGTCAAAGGGGGTTCTCAAACCAGCGCTGCAACCCTCCCTTCAAAGGTACAAAGGGTCAGAGGGGGAAAGAGCAGAGAAGGCTGTTTTGGAGAAAGGCGCTCTACCCTCTAGTGTGGGTGACAGCCAGGGATGGACTGGGACCTGAGGGTTGGGTGAAGGTCCAGGTGTGGGTCTCATGGGAGAGAGCCAGTGCCAAGCTGTCTTGAGGGACTGGGCACGGTGGTTCACACCTGTGATCCTAGCACTTTCGGAGGCCAAGGTGGGCAGATCACCAGAGGTCAGGAGTTTGAGACAGGCCTGGCCAACATGGTGAAACCCCGTCTCTACTAAAAATACAAAAAAATTAGCCAGGTGTGGTGGCACGTGCCTGTAATCCCAGCTACTTGGGAGGCTGAGGCAGGAGAATCGCTTGAACCTGGGAGGCAGAAGTTGCAGTGAGCCAAGATCATGCCATTGCACTCCATCCTGGGCGACAGAGTGAGATTCCGTCGCAAACAACCACCACCACCAGGTCTTGAGTGAATGTCACGGGTTGAACTGTGCAGAAAGATATGAAGTCCTAACCTGGTACCTGCAAGTGTGACCTTACTTAGAGGTAGGGTCTTTGCAAATGTAACCAAGTTAAGATGAGGTCACACTCAATTGGAGTGGGCCTTTGTCCAATGTGACTGGTGTCCTTACAAGAAGAAAAAGAGGAGAGGAAGAGAATGCTGGGTGAGGGTACAGAGACACACAGGGAGAACGCCACGGGCTGACAGAGACTACCCCGCAGTGAAGCATGTGCCAGCCAAGGAACGCAGAGGGCTGATGGCCCCACCAGGTGCCCGGAAGAGGCAAGGAAGGGTTCTCCCCAGCCTCGGGACAGTTGCAACCCTGCCGGCATCTTGATTTCAGGCTTCGAGCCTCCGACTGTAACAGAACAACTTTCTGTGGTTTTAACCCTCCCATTTCATGGCAGTTGTTGGACTGCAGTGCCCTAGGAAACTACGATAGGACTCAACCCAAGAGACACACAGAGGGGGCCCCACAGAGAGGCCTGTGCAGGGCTCATGGCCTCGGGCGCGGGGTTGCAGTGGCAGGTATGAGTGACTCTCAGGAGAAAAGGCCCTGCCTCCATCAGGGAACTGCGATGGCGGGTCCTCAGAGGAAACTCTTAGGCGCTCTCAGACCCCACCAGTTTAGAGTATTGGCAGGGGACCAACAGCACTGACCCCCTGCCCAAATCCCCTCCTCACTGTTGGACAGGAAGCTGGTGGGGAAACAGGACTAGCTGGGGGCAGGGGGTGGGGCAGAACTCAAGGGGAAGAGGGAACCCCACAGTCCTCCCAACCAGGTTCGGGTGAAGGGATGGGAAGTGTTAACTGTCAATGAACTTGGCAGTTCTGATGCACTGAAATGATACTATTTTGGAGGGAAAGTGCCCTGACGCGCGCTCTCTCTCTCTCTCTCTTTTTTAAGTGACAAGAGAAATTAAGGGGCTTGCAGGGGATTTTATCCAGGAGCGGAAAAAGAACTAGGTCATTAAAAAGTCTGAAGGGACAGCAGGGGGAGAAAAATGAAGCGTTCTCGGCCAGCATCCCATCACATCCAGCCTGTTTAATGTAGCAGCTGGGCTCCCAGGGCTGTGATGCTCTGGACACAGCGGGCTCTGCCCATCCTTCTTGTCACCTGGCCTCGCCCCTTGTCTTGTCTCACCTCTCGGCCCAGCTCCCCTCGCCCCTCACTCCTGACACTAACCCCCTCAGCATTTCCTTGGATGAGCCAGGATCCTCACCCTCGGGTCCCTGCACAGGCTGCCCGCTTTGTCTTTTGAAACCCTGCTCCTCCCCACCACTTCCTCCTCCAAACTCCTTCTCACCCTTAGGAGAGATCACAGCTTAGACCTACTCCTGGGCGGCCCATGCACCTCACTGTGCGCTGCCTGCCCATGGACGGTCCCTGCTGCCCAGGAGCCGGCCCCTCTCCCGTGCACCCCCAGCGCCTGGCACGGAGCCGGCTCCACTGCGCATGCGCCGTCAGTGGTGGCCACGTGACCCACATGACCGGCCCAAGTCTGGTGTGACACTGACCATTCCTTGGGCCTTTCTGTGTTCCCAATTTTCCATTCCTCCTGCCAGGCTTATATGAGGACCCCTCCCCCCAAACCTGGCCATACCCAGCCAGCTGCCGTCCCCGCCTCTGGTGACATTGCAGGAACCAAATGTGGGTCTCTGCACTCTTGGTATGCAGGCTCCCAAAAGGGAACACAAAGACTCGCTCTGCTTCATTTGCATGGCATGGCACTGTTTAAGAACCCACGAGGGGCAAGTCAAGCACAGGGGTCTGGGCACGTGGGTCTGAGGCAGGGCACACTCTCAGCGGGTGGGCCTGACTGGGATGTCCGGGAAGGCCCTGGCCCACTTAAGGGCACAGGGGCTGGGGCGAGGTAGCACAGGGGGAGGGGAAGGCAAGAGAGGATGAGAGGGAGAGGCAAAGGTAGGCATCACCCCCTCACATCTGCCTGGGAGCCTGTGAGTGGCCTGTGTCCCTGCCCAAGCGCCAGAATGACCCAGGGAAAGCTATAGCCCCGCTTTAACAAAGCAAATATCTCATTTGCCTCGCTCTACCTTCGCCCAGTAAAGCCTCCCCCAGAGCCCCTGCAGTGCGGCCCCAAATCCCTGGAGCCTCTTCAGTGGGCCCCACACTGCTTCAAGTCTGGAGCTGCCAGATTCATGAATCACCTCTGTTCAAATACATTCTTCAATATTTTCATGTCCTTCAGTTTACCTTTTAACAAATGATTCAAACACTTCTGAGGGTAGGACCATTCTCAAGAAATGCCCCACCCAAAGGAACGTGGATTTTGGAAAGAATACAGCCCAAATCCAGCCAAAAAAGCACATTTAACCCAGTTGTGGAAATAATTTTGGTTGTGACAGTTTGTGGTCTCTAAACAACATAAAGCCGTGCCATATGCAGATGAAGGACTTGGGAACAGGAACGGAGATTTGGGCAGAACTGAGGCTTCAGCATCCTCTCTTAGACCCACACATACACCGCAGGCGGCGGAAAGAGGGCAGCTCTCTCTGGCTCTTACACTCAATTTCCTGGCCTGCCCTGCTAGCCACAAACATGCCAGTGGAAAGCACCATGGAGGCTGCGACAAATCAAGCCACTGCCTGAGAGACTTTCTGCCTAAAGAGCTCCCAGAAGGATCCCTGGGTGAGTCAGGAGGTTTCTTCAAGAGGAGCTGGCACCTGCCCAGGCATGTCTGACCCCTGTGGACCGAGCAGCCTCCCAAACCCAGGATCCTCACTTGCCCTTTCCAAGCCTCTGAGGAGGTCAGGGGTCCCTTGAGGACCCCTCGTTCAGGAGGACAGTGGCATGCTGGGCTCCCCACTTTCTAGGCTAAAGCTAGACAATGATCAAGTTCTAGTTTTGCAGTAGCATCACGATGACTCAAAGTCATAATAACTCAATGCCAGTGCACAGATGGCCTTGGAATATGTGCTTGGATTTTTTTTTCTTGAATTCTTTTTACCTCTCTAATGAGGATTCATTGAGGCTGATAATCAAATGAAGTTTGCATTTCATAAGCGCACATCGGTAAGGTCTGGGTGCCCAGTGGGTCTGCCCTGGACACAGTCATGGTGGCTTTTGTCATTTCTCCGTTTTACACATTTAGAGACCAAAAGGCAGGAAGCAGTAATGACTTGGAAACTCATTCTAGAGACCAAGTAGATTTGCTCAATACCTATTTGTTGATCATGGTTCAATTTATCAGTTGAAAATGTTCTCCATAGGTATAACTCACAAAGAATCTGTATTTTGAACTTGTACACTCTGACTTGGAGGCAGCGTGCCTCAGTGGGCACACACTGGCTCTGGCATTGGGCGGCCTGGGTGTGCATCCTGACTAGCCAGCATTTACTGGCTGTGTGATCTTGGGCACAGAATTTGAACTCTGTGCCTCACTTTCCTCATCCATAGAATGGGATATAATGGTGCCTATCTATAGGTACAGAGTGAGCTTGTAAAAGGTTAATGCAGGTAAAGAACTTAGAGCAGGGCTTAACACAGATTCAATAAAGGTTAGCTACTGCCATGGTTCGTGTCACTGTCATTATTACCACAACCACAGTCTCAACGACTGCGGCACATGTGGCTCTCTCCCTATGAACATTTCTATTCTGTGCAAATCAACTTTCAAAACTGGTTTCCGCAGGCTTTCTGGCTGCTTCCTTCCTGCATGTGTCTTGTCTCCCTGACGATGCTAACCACGGCTCCCTACGCACACCTTCAGTCATTAGCAGGTCCTCAGTCATTAGCAGGGCCACAGGCATCTGTCTCTCTATTTTGGGCTTCAGGAAATTTTCCCCAAATCAGACACAGATTCAGCTGAAGATCAAAAAAGGTGTGAAGTGTGACACCACACACAGAGCCAGATCTCGATTTCATGAAGGCCATGTCCACGCTAAACAAAGCGGTCACCTGGTGGTGGCGACCCATTCCGCCAGGCGGGGGAACTGTGCTAACAGCTGAGGCATTCGGTTTTCCAAGGTCTGTATAAGAGCACGATGCGTCCTGAGTCTTACCTTGGTGAGATGGGCCCACACAGGGCAACACAGCAATTGGTAAAGATATTTCCGTAGCTGTAGGGATTGTAATTTTCTTTACCTCTTTTATTTGACCAGGATCCTTTAATCTGAAAGAAAAGGAAAGTCAGTAACAAGCAATATCCTTCACGCCAACGCACGGTTGAGGTGAGCTGGACCATAAGAAGCCCATAAAGAATGCAAATCATCTTTAATCCAAAGAAATGGAGGTATTTTTCTTAAAGAAAATGGGCATTTACTCCAAACTCGGAAATGTCCTAAAACAGCAGGTTAGATTAGGGAAAGAATAATATTCTCAGGGACAATCATCTTTTATTTGTCCCACATGATACTAAAAGGCCATCTCATATAAGCCAGCAGAGATTTTTTTCATGCTTACATTTAGTGCCCTAAATGATAATTAAATGAATCGCAGGTGAAATGGTTCCCCTAATTGCTAATTTACAGACTGAAATAATTCAGCCTCTTCTTGTGACCAAAATAGTCTGTTTTGCATATTCTAATATTTGTAGCTATCAACTACAAATAACTGTATTAATATTCTCTTATCTCATGTGTCTTATCACAACCTATTTTCTCAAGCTTTTGTTTAAGGTAACTGGACCTATCCTGAGACATTTAATTCACGTGTGGATAGAGACTTGTATCAAAATCTAAGTGTAAAGAGCAAAGTGGACCACGCTGCTCTGGAAACATTCTCTAACATTTTGTTTCCTCTTTTTTTTTTTTTTCTTTTTTTGAGATGAAGTTTCGCTTTTGTTGCCCAGGCTGGAGTGCAGTGGCACAATCTCAGCTCAGTGCAACCTCTGCCTCTCAGGTTCAAGTGATTCTGCTGCCTCAGCCTCCTGAGTAGCTGGGATTACAGGTGCGTGCCACCACGCCTGGCTAATTTTTGTATTTTTAGTACAGACAGGGTTTCACCATGTTGACCAGGCTGGTCTTGGACTTCCGACCTCAGGTGATCCTCCCACCCCGCCTCTCAAAGTGCTGGAATTACAGGTGTAAGCCACCGAGCCTGGCTAGCTTTTCTATTAATATCTCATGTGCTTTCGACACATTTTGTAAATTATGGAATGCAGTTCCACTGTCAGCTTGCAGCTGTGTCAAAATGACATGAATCCAAAGTAGGATGCGAGATGCAAGATGCAGCCTGCTGGCACTACCCACATCCTAGGACCCAGCTGACTCAGGAGGTCTCGAGGAACCATCAGCATCATCATTCCTAACAATGGCTGGCATCACTGGGATGTGTCAGGTCCTGTTCCACTTAAACCTCAGAGTGACCCAGGGAGAAGTGTGACTCCCCCTTAACAGACAGGGAAACCAAGGCAGAAAGCAATGAAGTAATTTGCTTGAGAAATAGCAGAGCTAGGACTTGAATGCTGGAAGTCTGCTCTGCTGGGATGACAGAAGAGTCTCGGGCTGGTCCCTTTCCTAAATCTTGCCAAGAGACGGGTGGCCCTAGACCTACCCCAACCTCCTGCTTCTCCGGGATTTGTAAACCTGTGGCAGCTTACATGGTCTGTTCCCTTTCACATCCACTCTCAGACTCCGACACAAATACACAGACACACATTCCTTACTGGCCCACTGGCTATATGCTGAAAATATCCATGCCATAATAAGATCAAGAAACAGAAATTTCTTTTGAAGGTATCAAAACCCATTTACTGTCTTTTTTTTAGAAAGAGAAAGAAGAGGAAACAATCCAACTGTACTGGGAGCCGATTTCATAAGCAGCTGGGACTTCGTTTACTGCATTGAGGATGGGTTTCAAATCATAGCAGCTACCGCGACGCCTCTGTCTCCCCAACAACCCCTGCTAAGAGAGTTTGTCTCCGTTGTGGCCAGAAAGATGGCTTTAAATTCCCCACAGCCCTAGCCTAAGAGGTTGCACACTGCAGTACTCACTGAATGTTTACAGAATTGAAAAACTCTGACAAGCGCTGTTCTACAGAGACCCTTCTCTCAAGTTCCTGCCTAATCCCAGAAGTGCAGGCTCTGTGTCCTTCTATGTACCCAGCTCTGCACTAGGGACAGGACAGGGCAGGGAGGGACCAGCTTCCAAATAGTGCAGCAGTATTTGGAGGATCACAAGAGGTGAGAGATCATGGGACCACATATGTTACATATCCAGAATTCCCGGATTCCAGAATGGCCAAGGAGATGATGTCCTTGCTCTCGTTCAAATACGATGTGGGTGTGTGCATTCTTGTGTTTTAAAATTTTTTGAGTTGTAATTTCCAATATGATAAATAACTCTCTCTCTCTTTCTCCAAAATATGCACAAACAAAAGCTCTTTGGGGGTCCTTAATAATTTTTCAATGTGTAAAGGAGTCTTGACACCAAAAAGTTTGAGACCTGCTGGAATAGAACAGTAAAACAGTAAGTGGTGTTGGGACACTTCATTAAACATTTAGAAAAAATAAAGCCAGAACTTCAGCTTGCACCACATCCACAAAATTATCTGATAGATAAATTACTGCACCAAATATAAGAAACACAATATAAAGGTATTTGAGGAAAATTAAGGAAACATTCATGTAACTTTGGGGCGAGGATATAAGGCACAAACCAAGGAGCCATGTAGTATGAGATTGACAGAGTGTGTTCATTAATAAACACTTTTGTGTAAAAAAGTAAAGTTAAACGGTAAATGTTGGATTTGGAGATTGGCAAAGGATACCTAAGAGATTATTATTATTATTGAGAAACATAAAGAAACCCTACATGTTTATAGAAAAAGAACAAATAACCCAATTGATACATGGACATGTACTGGCATATATTGTGATAAGAAAAGAAAAAGACCCCTTAACATAAAAAGAGGTACAATCTATTATCCAGAAAACAGAAATTAAAACAATGTAATTTTTTTCCTTTTCATCAAATTGGCCAAAATGACAAGACTGTTCACAGCCAGTGCCATAAACATGTAGGGCACAGGAGCTCAGACTGGTCCAGTTTCTTAAGAGGAGCATTTGGCAACCCTATCGACATTTAAATGTGCTTCCCTTCAACTCAGAGATGGCACATCCAGTGTCAATCCTAGAGACACAGTAACGTGTGCACATAGAGATACACAGAAGAAAATGCACTACTTCGTTTCTTGGACAGTAAAAACAATTAAGAAATCTAATCCATCAACAGAAGACTAAACTATAGTTCATCTACACTGTGGAATTCTATGAAATAGTTTAAAAAGCATGTGGAGAAGTTTTCACGGCACCGTCTCTGTTCCCAAGGGCTCACATCTGGAATGGGATGTGTGGGAGAAGCTGGGCCCGACCTCTTCTTTCCTTTTTCTCCTCCATTGCCCAAAACCCAAGAACACACCCGTGTCTCGTGTGGTCAGGAACTTACGTCCTCATTTGTCGTCTGGTTGGAGCTGATCAAGTAGGTGTGGAATCCTGAGAGGCCAACGATGGACCAGACAGAGAAGAAGCACACCACAGCCTCCAGGACAGTGACACGAGTCAAGGAGGCAAGTGGAAGTGAGGGGCCGCGCAAGAGGTGGACGTGATGGAGGCCTGGAACCGAAACCCCCCCAGGCACAGGCCACTCTCTAGCTGCTGGCCTCTCTCTCTCCCGGCCTTGCCTTGCTTCCTGCTCTTCCGGGAATTTCGTCTAACCAGATGGAAGCCTCCGTCAGGGCAGGGGGCGTCACATGCCCTGGCGTGGAGCAGCCTCTGTGGCTCCGTGATGACTGGAGGGCTCCCTGGGCGTCACCTACCCACTTCCTTCCTCTGACTTCTACTTGACCTTCACCTTTTTCTGTGCCTCACTGTGGAGCCAGTGACTGTGGCATCCTGCTCAGGAAGCACACTGGTTTGAGTTGGCTGCAGCTCAGGCCCTGGGTAAAAGATGACATATTGACTTGTACATCAATCGCAGACTCTAATTTTGGCTTCTGAATGCTGAGGACTGCAGTGCCAACAGGCGTCTCCCCTGAGGAGAATGGCTTCTGGGGCCCAGAAAGCCCTCTGCTTTAGTGGGCGGCCTCTTCTCTGCTTACAGAGAAGGGGAAGAAGGAGAAAATAAGCCCCTGAACGGGCGGTGGCATTTCTCGGAGTGACATCAGGGTGAGGGGTATTTTTACTTGGGGGAGTTTTCCCAGCCTTTCAGGCAACCCCTGACCTATATGGCCATCCTCCGCTGCTTGATAGGCAGCTGGGAACCACAAGTTCTCGCAGGACATTGAGAGAGAGGAAGTCAAGAGTTCCACAAGATGTGTCTAACACAAAGGGAAAAAGCTTGCTGCTCTTCAGCAGATGAGATCCATCACCCGAGAGTGTGGCAATGTGAAAAGGCCAGAGACTTTTTCTGTCCCACAAATGCTTATAAAATTCTATTTACAGGATACAGATATTTCTCAGGGCGAAAAATCCATTCATCCTGGGTTTGGGAGTTTACACATACATCTGGCATCCCCTATCGATCTATTACAGGCTAGAGAAAGAAACGCTCCTGCTCTCCTAATGTTTCCGAGGATGAATGCCAAATAGACCATGCCGGAACATATCAGTGATGATCTTCTCCAGGCTGGGGAGAATTCATCTTTAGACCAGAAGGTTGAGCACATTACCCAGTGCGGTGCCGTGGTCTGCTGTGCCATGGTTAACCAATGTCACCATCTGGGCACACAGGCCTGCAGGCAAAACAGGAGGGAATGGGCTTCTGCCTGTTGACTGACTTTCAACATCGCCCTAAACCACTGGGTCTGTTCTAGAAGGAGATGGTAGCAGGCAGTGGTAGGGGACCAGAGAGACACAGGGAAGCAGACCCCTACCCACAGCTACCGCCAGCCTGGGCAACCCCTGCTGGGCAAATGGCAATGGTGGAGGCTCTGTGTGCACGTGGGGTCACATGGATGGTGTCCCAGGCAGCAAAGATGGTCTCATTTTCAACTGCCTTCCCACAGAATGGGGCTAAAGAGGCCCCTCTCCCTACCCACATCCCCCCTGCCAGGAGGGGGCAGACCTGGGAGGCAACTCCCCTGGGATTCAGGTCATGCACTGGCTGGAAAAAAGAGGTGAAGTGGAGTCCAGGGAACATGATGAGGGAGCCAGTGGGAAGACTGAGTCAGGAAAGCTGGGTTGTGTGAGAGGGAGATGACGTTAGACACTAGCAATGGGTTTGGACTGGCTACGGGGAAAAGACAGGAGACAGAAAGAGGAGGGGACACATGGAACGGAAACCAGAAATAGCCAAGGTAGAAAAGAATCAAGAACAGAACCAGATTTATTTACTGAATAAATGAAGAGCCAAACTGCAATCCCAGAAATACTTATGTGTCACCCAGAGTTTACGATCCAGGTAGAATGATGGCAAAGTCAAAGTGAATATAACATTCCTATGTATGAACCATATGAAACCTGGCATATACGAGCAGTGAGGATCCCAGACTGAAAGTGGCTGCAGCTCCTTTGACAATGCCAACTATGCTCATTACCCTCATCGGGAGGCATCATAGCCAGCGGACATAGAATTCTAAAGGTTTATAGCAACAATAAAAAAATGCAGCTTTTCTATTTTTTTTTTCTTTTTTTGAGATGAAGTTTCGCTTTTGTTGCCCAGGCTGGAGTGCAGTGGCACAATCTCAGCTCAGTGCAACCTCTGCCTCTCAGGTTCAAGTGATTCTGCTGCCTCAGCCTCCTGAGTAGCTGGGATTACAGGTGCGTGCCACCACGCCTGGCTAATTTTTGTATTTTTAGTACAGACAGGGTTTCACCATGTTGACCAGGCTGGTCTTGGACTTCCGACCTCAGGTGATCCTCCCACCCCGCCTCTCAAAGTGCTGGAATTACAGGTGTAAGCCACCGAGCCTGGCTAGCTTTTCTATTAATATCTCATGTGCTTTCGACACATTTTGTAAATTATGGAATGCAGTTCCACTGTCAGCTTGCAGCTGTGTCAAAATGACATGAATCCAAAGTAGGATGCGAGATGCAAGATGCAGCCTGCTGGCACTACCCACATCCTAGGACCCAGCTGACTCAGGAGGTCTCGAGGAACCATCAGCATCATCATTCCTAACAATGGCTGGCATCACTGGGATGTGTCAGGTCCTGTTCCACTTAAACCTCAGAGTGACCCAGGGAGAAGTGTGACTCCCCCTTAACAGACAGGGAAACCAAGGCAGAAAGCAATGAAGTAATTTGCTTGAGAAATAGCAGAGCTAGGACTTGAATGCTGGAAGTCTGCTCTGCTGGGATGACAGAAGAGTCTCGGGCTGGTCCCTTTCCTAAATCTTGCCAAGAGACGGGTGGCCCTAGACCTACCCCAACCTCCTGCTTCTCCGGGATTTGTAAACCTGTGGCAGCTTACATGGTCTGTTCCCTTTCACATCCACTCTCAGACTCCGACACAAATACACAGACACACATTCCTTACTGGCCCACTGGCTATATGCTGAAAATATCCATGCCATAATAAGATCAAGAAACAGAAATTTCTTTTGAAGGTATCAAAACCCATTTACTGTCTTTTTTTTAGAAAGAGAAAGAAGAGGAAACAATCCAACTGTACTGGGAGCCGATTTCATAAGCAGCTGGGACTTCGTTTACTGCATTGAGGATGGGTTTCAAATCATAGCAGCTACCGCGACGCCTCTGTCTCCCCAACAACCCCTGCTAAGAGAGTTTGTCTCCGTTGTGGCCAGAAAGATGGCTTTAAATTCCCCACAGCCCTAGCCTAAGAGGTTGCACACTGCAGTACTCACTGAATGTTTACAGAATTGAAAAACTCTGACAAGCGCTGTTCTACAGAGACCCTTCTCTCAAGTTCCTGCCTAATCCCAGAAGTGCAGGCTCTGTGTCCTTCTATGTACCCAGCTCTGCACTAGGGACAGGACAGGGCAGGGAGGGACCAGCTTCCAAATAGTGCAGCAGTATTTGGAGGATCACAAGAGGTGAGAGATCATGGGACCACATATGTTACATATCCAGAATTCCCGGATTCCAGAATGGCCAAGGAGATGATGTCCTTGCTCTCGTTCAAATACGATGTGGGTGTGTGCATTCTTGTGTTTTAAAATTTTTTGAGTTGTAATTTCCAATATGATAAATAACTCTCTCTCTCTTTCTCCAAAATATGCACAAACAAAAGCTCTTTGGGGGTCCTTAATAATTTTTCAATGTGTAAAGGAGTCTTGACACCAAAAAGTTTGAGACCTGCTGGAATAGAACAGTAAAACAGTAAGTGGTGTTGGGACACTTCATTAAACATTTAGAAAAAATAAAGCCAGAACTTCAGCTTGCACCACATCCACAAAATTATCTGATAGATAAATTACTGCACCAAATATAAGAAACACAATATAAAGGTATTTGAGGAAAATTAAGGAAACATTCATGTAACTTTGGGGCGAGGATATAAGGCACAAACCAAGGAGCCATGTAGTATGAGATTGACAGAGTGTGTTCATTAATAAACACTTTTGTGTAAAAAAGTAAAGTTAAACGGTAAATGTTGGATTTGGAGATTGGCAAAGGATACCTAAGAGATTATTATTATTATTGAGAAACATAAAGAAACCCTACATGTTTATAGAAAAAGAACAAATAACCCAATTGATACATGGACATGTACTGGCATATATTGTGATAAGAAAAGAAAAAGACCCCTTAACATAAAAAGAGGTACAATCTATTATCCAGAAAACAGAAATTAAAACAATGTAATTTTTTTCCTTTTCATCAAATTGGCCAAAATGACAAGACTGTTCACAGCCAGTGCCATAAACATGTAGGGCACAGGAGCTCAGACTGGTCCAGTTTCTTAAGAGGAGCATTTGGCAACCCTATCGACATTTAAATGTGCTTCCCTTCAACTCAGAGATGGCACATCCAGTGTCAATCCTAGAGACACAGTAACGTGTGCACATAGAGATACACAGAAGAAAATGCACTACTTCGTTTCTTGGACAGTAAAAACAATTAAGAAATCTAATCCATCAACAGAAGACTAAACTATAGTTCATCTACACTGTGGAATTCTATGAAATAGTTTAAAAAATGAGGTAGATCTATGTATCATCATGGAAACATCTCCAGGAAATATTTTAAAAAATCAAATTGTGGAACCGTGCAAAAAGAAGGGCTCTTTTTAGGTACAAGTCCTCCCACCCCCATATCAGCATATGTGTATAATGCACACGGATGTATTCAAACTCAAAGACCATCTGGAAGGACACATCAAAGCTGGCAAGGGTTCCTACAGCAGAACGGAGGAAGGGTCAAGAGAAAAACTTTCTTTTCATTCTTGTATTTCTGGACCACTGGAGATTTTTTTTTTTTTTTTTTTGAGATGGAGTCTTGCTCTGTTGCCCAGGCTGGAGTGCAGTGGCCCAATCTCAGGTCACTGCAAGCTCCGCCTCCCGGGTTCACACCATTCTCCTACAGGCGTCCGCCACCATGCCCGGCTAATTTTTTGTAGTTTTAGTAAAGACGGGGTTTCACCATGTTA